CTTCTCGCTTACGCACTTCAAACTGTGTCTATCTTTATCACAGTAATTAACAAGTCCAAATTAAAATATGCCAATTCCGAACCCTCTGTATCAGTGCAGTATGAAGTTTTAGTTCCACCTTCGTGCATCCATCTTTACATGCAGAAACAATTCTTTGATTCATCTTTTAACATTGAATACCAATATGGAGTTTTCCAAATCAGCTATATCTTGAAGCTTTAGATACTTCGTATCTTTTCTTACCATCCCCGTCCATGACATCATAGGACTTCCACCTTTCTAACACGAATCTCTATTCCTAATCACTTTGCCTGAATGGAGCATTAGAAGGTCTTCATTCAACGCGATCAAAGCATCTCAAGCAAGCTTTTCCATGTTATCTTTAATTGTGTTAAATTTAAGTTTATTGCGCCTTTAGAACAGTCATTATGAGAAACTTGTAAACAACAGAACACTTTTCCTCTCTATTTAAAGATATAGCTAAGAACACCTTGAATTACTTTGGAAAAATCGAGCCATATTATAACTTTATCTGTTCAAAAGTAGCAATATGTCCAAAGCTAGTGTATGCCTCATTCCATCACGTGATGAGGCTTTATGTGGTGAGTTCAAACTCAACACATCATGAGTTTGAGTTATATGTTGATTATTCTAATATTGATACTTCTACAGTCTAAATTTTGGGTGGGGAAATGCTGGGCTTCCCTGGTGTCCCCTTGTATCTGTCTCTGCTACTCCTATTGATGTATCTACATGAAGACACAGGAGTAATTCAAATTAGCCACCAACTTCCTCACCCTTTGTTTTCGTGTTCATCTTCAGCTTTATCGAGAATTTTGGTACCCATATTGTTACTTCTGCAACTGTCGGTGGAAGAGATGTAGTTTATATCAGGCAGCATCAATCATCTTCTTTGTCAACACCGGACATTGAAAGTTATGTAAAAGACATTGAGAGTCATCGGTTTCAAGAATCCAGGAATCAGCCAAGTGCAGGCCTCCCAAAATACAAAGACAAGGTTAGTATCAGAATATTGCTTAGTCAAAAAATTCTCCTTTTACAGTGTAGAAATTTTCCTCATAAACTTGCAACAGTCCAACAGTGGAGAAAGTGACTATGACCTTCATTTATTTTTTACTCCTAAAAACCATATCCAAATTCTGTCATGTGATGTTCTCCTCATTTTGGAAGCACTAATCATGTAAGGCTCGCAATTATTTGCTGCAGGATGTCACAGTAATCTTTAGGAGGCGAGGTGGTGATGATCTCGAGCAGAATCAGGCTAAGTGGGCTGACACTGTAAGATCAGCACCAGACGTAATTAACATGACATTTACGCCCATTGTTTCACTTCTTGAAGGAGTGCCTGGGATAAAGTATTTGGCCCGTGCTATAGACTTATATTTGGAATGTGAGTGTTCCTTTTCCTATAACTGTTCATTAACTTGAGTGATTGGTAAAGGCAATGCTTTTTGAGGTTTTCTCAGTGTATTTGCGATATGGATCCATAGAGATTTAATTTTTCTAATCTTTGGTTTTGTTGTGAAGATTATTGAGGTTCAGAAAACTCTAAGATGAGCAACATGATTTGAAGTAGATTTTAGTACAACACCTATTTCTGGGGATTGGTGGAGTCTCCTGTACACGTGTATAAACCCAGATCAGAAAAACTAGATCGCTAACTTGTTGAGCTTCTGATGTTCTGTTTTTTTCCTATTGTAATGACTTAAAACAAGTGAATTCTAACTCGATGCAGCTATGGGAACTTAAATCAGCTTAATTTCTGGATGAATTCTGTCCAGTTATTCAGTCCTATTCCATGGCATTTCTGATAAGTGTCAGAAACTTCAAAACTTACTTGAAATAGTTCAATTTCTACAAGTTTCTGATTAGATATGTTAGGCGACTAATTTATTTCTTGTTTTTGTGTGAGAGATGAGAATGTCCGCATCTGATTTTACTTTAGATAATCAAATGTGTGCAACTTGTTTGTTGTTCCAACCAGATAAACCTCCAATCGAAGATCTACAGTACTTTTTGGATTTTCAAATTGCTTGTGTCTGGGCTCCAGAACAAAAAAATCTTCAAAGGAAAGAGCCTGTCTGTTCATCCCTCCAGTTCAGCTTGATGGGTCCCAAGCTATACATTAGTCCAGATCAGGTACGTTACAATTTTATCGAGCTGGAAATATTACATAAGCAGATAACAAAGGAAGATACTTTATATTACAACGGAAAAAGGGCAATAAAAGTGAAGGATTACTTATTTAGCTAGCTGAAAAGACGAACTTTTATCCTGCGTCTGTTTGAAGTCCACTAACTGCACTTGCCAGAAAAAAAGCAAAATAAATGAGCTTTTATGTTCATCACTATCTAGCTTGAATTTTTTAATGTTTAGTTTCACAGCATACCTACTTGTTAAACTGAATAAAGATGAGCAAGCAAATAAGTTGTCCAAAATCAAAAGAAGTGCAAATTAAATGCACCAATACCATACTAAAATGTTTCTATTTGCAATCATGACCTTTGACTAATCCATTCATCCAAACCCAGCGATATTTTCATGTTCCTGAATAATTTGCTAAAATTGCACATTACTATCTGATTTGGTAATTTTTCAGTCAGATGATCTTTCTTTTTATTCTTTTTCAGGTGACAGTCGGTCGTAAGCCTGTGACAGGGTTGAGACTTACAATTGAGGGGAGCAAGCAAAACCGGCTCGCTATCCATTTGCAACACCTGGTTTCTCTTCCCAAAGTTCTCCAACCCCATTGGGACGCGCACATGGCGATTGGTGCTCCCAAGTGGCAAGGCCCCGAGGAGCAGGACAGCCGTTGGTTCGAGCCTATCAAGTGGAAGAACTTTTCCCATGTCAGCACCGCACCAATAGAGCACACCGAGACCAGCATCGGCGATCTCTCAGGAGTCCACATCGTGACGGGGGCTCAGCTCGGCGTTTGGGACTTTGGGTCCAAGAATGTACTTCACCTTAAACTCCTCTTTTCCAAGGTCCCAGGTTGTACAATAAGGCGGTCTGTATGGGATCACAACCCGGCGAGTTCATCTTCACTAAAGAATGATGGTGCTTCCTCATCAGCATCCAAGGATAAGACATCCAGTGACAAAAAGGAAGACAGTTCAAATAAACCCGGAAAACTGGTGAAGATTGTGGACATGACAGAAATGTCCAAGGGCCCACAAGATATACCCGGTCATTGGTTGGTTACGGGGGCAAAACTAGGGGTTGACAAGGGAAAGATCATGTTACGCATAAAGTACTCGCTGTTGAACTACTGATTCGTCGTGTATTATTCGGTAGGTTGATTTTTTTTTTTTTGGTGGTGTTTAGCTTAGAAAAATGCATTCTTTGCACAGGTGATCACCTTGAATTGTTCTGTACATTCTTCTTTTGTATGCCCTTTTTCTGGTCATCTATTGATGATGCAGTATTATTGACCTATGTTTCGGTTATTCACGAATCAACCTAGTGGCTGCTGGATGATAACCTTGCTGTGTAAGAGTGGTTCATTTCATTATGGAGAACAAAGTAGTGATTGTTTCCCGAATAGCCATTGTACTTCTGTAGTCTACTTTTTATAACTGGCGGTTTCTTTGGTTTTGGTCCCGGTTTCACAAGTTCGACTAGAGTGAAAGGGAAACACAAAGGGGAAAAAACAGAAGAAGAATTGAGTTCCATAAGAGTGAATACGATGGAATAATTGGTCACGTCGGACACACCAATGACTCATTCTGTGCTTGTTGTTTGTGATAGTCTTGAGGCTATCATGTCGCACTCGATGCGGAATCATGGACTGCTTCTCGTTCGCTTCTAGAGCGTTTTGTTTTTGTCAATTGCGTTGCAGCCACTGCATATGAAATTTCTATTCAATGGAACTAGCATTAGTCCTTCATTATTGCGAAAGTATTGGAGGGTCAGTTTATCTCTTGTGTTACTTACAAACGCAAGCCAACATCTCCATCTTCGAAGACAGCTACCTGGGAAGACCATTTCAGCATAAGCGCGGGAGTGCGAACATTCAAAGCGCGAATTGTGCGATTTGGACGTCCTCCATCCGTTTGAGCTACAACTTTTAGCAAGAAAGCCGACGTACGAGTTGCCTTCACTGGACCCCCTGTCTCAAGCTGCCGTTGCAGCCAATCACAACATTGAAATGAATTTTTCAGAATGGTAATTAGAGTGTCCGATATTGCAAGATATTACATAAGACTTGAGCGGAACTTTTTTCCTTTGGACAGGAATAAAAGCTTGTACTAGTTGAAAAATGGTGGTGACAATGATGTACTGCGAAAATTTGGCGCCCTTTTTTCCCCTTTCAAACTCCATAGATCAACGAATTCCATCTCTGTTACACTAGGATGATCAATATGTCCAATCTTAATCTCGACCGTGAATAATCGATGAGACCTATCGTATGAAGTTTCCGCATCAAAGCTCCTCCTTATGTCCACTCAGAGCATGGCCCAACCAATCCATGAAGGATTCAAGATTTGATTCGAGAAGTCCCATTTTTTATGCCGTCATGAACTTCGAGCAAGCACTGGTTGATCCAGATGCTCACACCAGGCCCTAGAATCTGCATGACTGGGTAAATTTGCTGTGTTTTAGGAAGAAGACGAAAGGAAGCATCATGTTTACACAATGGCACTTGATTTATAAATTGGACCGTCTTCATGCAGTCAAGAGTAGAAGGGTCCCTCAAACAACATTTGCGTGACTGAGATTGCCCTTTCTCTCTGTCGATTTTGCTAAAGACACTAATCACGACCGAGTCCAATGAGCATCTCTTCCATGTTCGGCAGCAACAACATCAAGAAGAAGATGCAATCACAACCAGACAACAAAGTGGGTATTGCCAGAGGCAAAGAAGTGCTCATAGCATCTCATGGGTACTGTTATAAATACAAACTAGCGAAGGCCTAAACTTAAAATTCTTCCAAGAGAATCACTGACCAGTGACTACCCTTTTGAACTTCAAGAACTAAATGGAGCTCCAAACTAGGGTCTGATTATTGTCCGTTTAAATTCATTGCCTTCCTTGTTTATTTTGCTTTTGCTGCTGAGTGTGAGATGTTCTGTTTGCAGGAGAAGCCGGAGCTCGTCGAAGGGAAGGTGGACTGGAAGGGAAGAACGGCTCGGAAGCATGAACATGGAGGAATGCGAATTGGTTTGCTTATTCTCGGTATGGCATCATATTTACCCAACGTAACAATTCAACCTGAGTCGAATGCATAGTCTTTAGCTTAGTGAATTACAGTTTAAAGTCAGGTAAAAGGTAAACCGAAACCTGCCAGAGGGAGGAAAAGAATTTTGGACTACGATGTTGTGCTGTGATCATACTGTACACTCCACTAGGCATGACCATTGAAACGTTTCTTTATTTGCTTTATCGAGATGTTTCTTGCACGGTTCATGTTCCAATGATTAGCATCTATTGTTGCAGCCACATTCGGTTTCGAGCAGATGGCGACCGTTGCACTGGCTGTGAACTTGGTGATATACTTCAGTGGGGTCTTGCACTTTGAATTTGCTGATGCCGCCAACCAGCTCACCAACTTCATGGGCTCTTCCTACATTCTTTCCATTGCCGTGGCCGCCTTAGCAGACGTTTACATCGGCAGATTCAATGCCACTCTCATTTCGGGCTGTGTTGAGTTCTTGGTATAAATTTCACAGGCATCAAATTCTCTGGCAAGCTAATGAACCGCATCTCATAATTACGATGATCATCATCTTCTTTTGTTCTGTTCAGGGACTGGCATTACTGACTGTACAGGCTCACTATCCCGGGCTTCGTCCACCAAAGTGCAACATCTTCGATTCTACTTCTCACTGCGAAAAAGTTGGGGGCGGAAACGCTGCACTCTTCTTCATCGCGTTGTACCTGTTGGCTGCTGGTTCAGCTGGAATCAAAGCTGCATTGCCAGCCCACGGAGCCGACCAGTTTGACGAGAAGGACCCTAGGGAAGCGAGGGACATGTCGAGCTTCTTCAACTTCCTGTTGCTGATAGTGTGTCTTGGCAGCGCAGCTAGTTTGACACTCATCGTGTGGATACAGGACAATAAAGGATGGGACTGGGGCTTCGGGTTATCTACTATAGCCATGTTCTTGGGCGTGGTGTTATTCACATTAGGACTCCCGATGCACCGGATACAACCCATACAAGGAACCAGTACAATCGTCGAAATTGTCCAGGTCTATGAAAGTTCCCTAATTAGCTTTGTCCTAACTTATGATCTGCATCATGCCAAAACAGAAAAGTATTCAGGGCTCAAACTGTGGTTGATCTCTCCGATGTCTCAGGTATTTGTTGCTGCAATTCGCAACAGAAAACTTCAACTCCCTGAGGACCCAACGGAGCTGTATGAGTTTGACAGAGATGCAGAAGCTGCTGGAGATAAAGAATTTCTACCTTACAGAGATACTTTCAGGTCATCGCGCATTACTTTCCCTACAAGAAAAAGAACATTTATTCAAATTTATGATCTCCAGATAAATTGTATCAATGGATCCTCAGGTTCCTAGACAAGGCGGCCATAAAGGAAACACCGGCGCTGCGACACAGGCAGTCCGAATCTCCGAACCCGTGGAAGCTGTGCCGGATGACCCAAGTGGAGAACGCAAAAATAGTGCTCGGCATGGTTCCAATCTTCTGCTGCACCATAATTATGACCCTTTGCCTGGCTCAACTCCAGACCTTCTCCATCCAACAGGGCCGAACGATGGATACAAGCATCACAGGCTCGTTCAAGATCCCGCCCGCCTCACTTGCCATCATCCCTGTCTCCTTCCTCATCATCATAGTCCCCATCTACGACCGGGTGATCGTCCCGTTCGTCAGGAAATTCACTGGCCACCCGACAGGCATAACCCACCTGCAGAGAATAGGTGTCGGGCTTCTTCTATCGTCGCTCTCGATGGCTGTGGCTGCGATCATGGAGGTAAAGCGGAAAAAGGTGGCCCGCGACCACGGCATGCTCGATGCGATACCTGTCGCTCAGCCGCTGCCCATCAGCGTGTTCTGGCTCTCCTTCCAGTTCTTCATCTTTGGGATCGCCGACATGTTCACGTACGTCGGGCTCCTCGAGCTGTTCTACTCCGAGGCGCCGAAGGGGCTCAAGTCGCTCTCCACCTGCTTCCTGTGGTGCTCCATGGCGCTGGGGTACTTCTTCAGCAGCATATTGGTCAAGATTGTGAACAGGGCAACAGAGGGCGTGACCAGGAGTGGTGGTTGGCTTGCAGGGAACAACATTAACAGGAACCATTTGAATCTGTTCTATTTGCTGCTCTCGATCATGAGCATTACCAACTTCTTCGCGTACCTGGTTGCTGCTAGGAGCTACAAGTACAGGCCTCGGATCGTGCCTGCTGTCTCCAAGTAGATTAACCAAGTTAGAAAGACGGGCAATTCATGGACATTTGTGTCGGTACTGTTTGTGTTGCGTTTAAATTGCATGTGTTTTGTTGGTTTGTGTATGTTCCTTCTGGCAGAAAAGAAAGTGAGGGGTACAATTTGATATTGCTGATTTTTTCATCTCGCGATAGAGAAATGATTAGATAACAGTATTTAATCTTTGCAAGAATAACAATTTGATCTGGACAAGAAAAGTAATAAATAATTATAAATTATTATTGGGTCAATTCCTTCAATAATTTGACGCTCATATTATACTTATTACTTTCACATTGCCCCAAAAACTATTATACTAGCTAGGGTCCTGCTCATTTGACGGTACCGTTATTTACCACAGATAACGGTGCTACAATGACCACAGAATCCCATTTATGAGGATTTGGCAACTGGAACTTGGGAAAGTCAAAGAGATTTTTAGAGATATTGAAAAGCAAATTAACGGGGAATTATTATTTTATTATGAAATGACAAGATACTGAAATATTGAGTTTAGAATTTTTTTTTCTGTAGTTCCTTTCAATGGCATTAAAAATGTTTTCCCTTAGAATACTCTCAGCCAAATATCCAAAAAAAAAAAATTGCATAGATTACATACTGGACAAAACTATCCTCGCTTTTCAAATGAAAACAAATGAACGAACTTTTACTTAAGTGGTAAAATAACCCATTGTTAAGTTTTTAATTTTGATGAATTGACTCAAATCATCGATTTGGAACGCTAACTTTTGGGTAAAAAAAGCTCGGTTCACTAACCCTGGCTCTTTCAATTTTGGGGTTGCTAAATTTTTTTTTCTATTTTCTCAGTGAAATAGACAAGTTGTTGATTAAATAACTACAAGTTTAATATGTTTTGCAACGGTGCTGCCATTAATAGTAATCCAACATTTATTTTCTCTTGAGATAAAGATGTTTAGATAATTTTTTTGGCACTTAATGTAAAAATATCTAACATTGATGATGTAATAAGTTCCTTTTCTATTCCCTTATTGCTATTTTGGCCGATTTTTTTTTTTTTTGTCTAATAGGAGAAATCCCACTCGGTTGGGCTTGCAAACCCACCAAGTGGGATTTATGATTTTCCCAAGGAACCGGGTAAACAAGTCACCCGGTTTCCTTGGGAAACTATGTGGCGTACACTTAGACCGTTACTCTCACCTAGGGAGCATGGACACTCTCTGGGGGCCTTCGTGTTGTGTCGGACATGTGTTCGTGTTGTGTCGGACATGTGTCGGATACCGACACTCGTCCGACACTCTTTTTATTATTATTTATTTATTTATAGATTTGAATCAAATTAATTTGATTGAAATAATTATAAAATTGATAATTTATCATGTATATATAAAAATATATATTTAATATACAACGTGTCTCAACGTGTCGAAGTTTTCTATTTTTGAGAAATGACACGTCGGCGTGTCATGTCGCGTGTTGATATCGGTGTCGGTACTACTTAGATTTTCATATAAGTAACCGTACCGTCTTGCTTTCATTTCCCTACTAGCAAAACCCTTTCATTGATTGCATCTAGACAATGTTCCTTGATTGAACGTGCTTCCAATTAAAGCAGATAGTGTTTCGTAAAGTAAAGCTTTATTTGTCTCGTGAAAAATAAATATTTTTAAAAATATTTTCTTAAAAATAATCATTTATATCTCTTCAAATAATTAGTTAATGAAAAATATTTTCATTATCGACAATAATTTATGTACCCATTTTCGTAGACGATGAATATATCTTTCGTTGATTCATTTTTGTAAGCAATACAAGTAATTTTAGAAAATATTTTCCACATTGTTCATTTTACATGAAATAAACGCATTCTAAAATTTTAAAAAAATTATTGAAAGAAGAGAAAGAAGGGGAAGTGCAGAGGTGTGCAGCTCCTTGTCGTGGGGTAGCCTGCCCAAAGTTGTATCGCTATCATTCATTTCACAGCGAAAGCTTCTTGATAACTCCAAAGACCATCCCTCAATATCATCCCACGTAGCCACCTCACCACCGCCATGCACGGCGGCGTGGCCGTCCCTCGAACCCCCCACGTTCACCACCCTCTACTCCTCTCTCTATAAACTTCCGCCACCTCTTCTTCAGCCGTCGAAATCTCATCAGTCACCGGTCGTCGCTTTTCACCGAAAGAGAGAGAGAGAGCGAGAGAAGAGGAGTAGAAAAAGGAAGAAATGGCGTCAAGCGACCGGCCACCGGGGCCAATGCCGCCGACGGCGGCGGAGGGGGAGAAGGCGCCGGGGAAGCGGATGACGGTGGGGGCAGATGCTGCTGGACACGGGGGCGGCGATGCTGCAGTCGCTGAAGCCGGTGAAGCAGATGAACCAGCACGTCTGCACCTTCGCCCTCTACGCCCACGACCTCGGCCGCCAGATTGAGACCCACCACTTCGTCGCCCGCCTCAACCAGGACTTCCTCCAGTGCGCCGTCTACGACACCGACTCAGCCTCCGGCCGCTTAATCGGTATGGTCTACGCGGTTTCATCAATTTTGTGTTCCTCTTTGCATGAACCGGTTGGGCTGCTCACCGAATTTAATTAATGAACGAATTCTCAGAAACTTTGCAAATTCACAAGGATTTTCATTGGGATTGAAATGATTGATTGCGGTCATCATGTCAATCATACGATATAACTATGTCTTTGCCTAGATGGACTAGATTTCCCCTATTCTTTAAATCTGAAAGGTGAGACGTGGTTGGTGCAAGATCGAGAATTTTGTTTTAGAAAGATTTGAGGCTAAACTTTTACTTAATCTTCATTTCTCCCAATCGTGAAATTACCCACTTTCGAAATAAAATAAAAAATTTGGTGTCGGCCCGTGGATTCGACTACCTAGGGTTCTAGTATGGTGTGCACCTAGGACCGACCTCAATCCGGTTCTAGTTGAGCTCACCTGAATCGGGTGCGCGGCGCAGGCAATCGTTATTTTGTCGCTGCCAGAGAGTGTACTGTTGTACTCGTGTCTAGATATGTTATATTTGGTAACTTACCAACTTCTTTGCATTGGTAAATTCGAATGAAAACGATGCTTATATATTTATATTGAAATACATATGTACTGTGCAGGAGTGGAGTACATAGTGTCGGACAAGATATTTGAAGCTCTTCCTCCGGACGAGCAGAAGCTCTGGCATTCCCATGCTTACGAGGTCGTATGTCATTTTACTAGTCTTTTTTCCGGAGGCGTTCGTCGTTTCTTGAGATAATCTTTACTATACTTTGCAGATCAAATCTGGTCTATGGGTCAATCCTCGGGTCCCTGAAATGGTAGAAAAGCCAGAGCTTGAGAATCTGGCCAAGACTTATGGCAAATTTTGGTGCACATGGCAAGTTGACAGAGGTAATTTAGACAATGAACTTTTGTCATTTGAACTAAGTCTAACGCTGGAAAATGCCTGGTCGGATGTTTACATTGGGCGAACATTTTTTTTCGCGGTGGAGCTCAGGCGACAAGCTGCCACTGGGTGTGCCGGCCCTGATGGTGTCGCCCCAGGGCGTGAATCTCGGGAGGGTGAGGCCAGACCTGGTCCAAAAGAGGGACAACAAGTACAACACATCGACCGATGCCGTCAAGGTCTCGAGGCTAGAGATCGAGGAGCCGGAGTGGATCCACCCGCAGGCCGACTACTGGAAGCAGCACGGCAAGGCCTTGGCGATCGGCATCAAGCGAACCGAGATGAAGAAAATTGCGCCCTTCCTATGAAACGCAGGAGTCGAATTAGAGTAATAAATGTTCATTTGGATGGTTTGTTTTTGTTTTGGAATTGTGTAGGTACAGTTATGAATATGTTGAATGTAAGCATGTAGATGCGGTCTAATTCCTCATGGATTTTGGTGTACTGGACTGTGAAGCCGTTTAGGTAGTTCAATAGGAGAAAAGTTGGTGATCGACTTCAATTAGGATTGGCAAATTTCTAAGAAAAGTTAGGTAATTGAAGGCGCTATTAAGAAATAATAGAAGTTTGTAAAGCCGAAAAAGTCAGGGATATTATGTAAAAAACTTAAATTAAAGTCTAAATGAGAGATTTTAACTCGTGGTTAGATTGTAATATAATGAGAGAAAAGTTGGTGATGAATGATGCTAATTTTGGTCAATAATCTCTCAAAACTGTTGGTAAGTGGTAGGGAGGTTGCCAATCGAGGCAAGCAAAGAGGTAATCCAAACTTGGTAATTTAATTCAACAAAAGTTGGTTAATTCACAATAGTAGGTAATTTAGTGTATATATTAATAACTTCGAAACCTAAATAAATTGTAATTTTAATTCACATTTTTTAAAAACTTTACTAGCACACAGAAAAGGAACCCCAATTGAAAATTTTCAAATATGGTCACGTTAGGATATGGGATAGAAATTTGTCTGAAAGAGCAAGAAAAACTAAACCATGATGGCCGATCACAGAAACACAAAGTGCTATGGCAAATTTACCGAAAGAAGAAGAAGAAAATCAGAAAAAAAAGGCAGTAAAAAATGAAGCTTATAAACTTTGTCCAGAATATGTACTTGCACATTTCTCCGATGAGTAGCTACTGTACCATTGGGGGAGATCGTCCCCGGCGACATGGCAGTCGTGTTCACGTATATGAACTTGGCTTTGGGTAATCGTCCGTTGAGCTCATCGACGAGTTGCTTGAGCTTGTCATTGAAGATCTGCACCGCGCCATTCATTTGGTCCCCGCACATGTTGTTGCCGGATTTTTGTGATCGCGAAGGGCATGCAGCCTACCGGCCCTGCTCTGAACAGCGCGATTTACCTCGCTCTGTAGCCGTGCAAAGTCTAAAGAGCCAAAGGGAAAAACGATTGAATCGCACGCACAGACTCATGTCGGGAATCATAGTTCATTGCCCTCAATTTGGATCGAGAGAACTGGAAATTTTACGTAGCAAGCACCGGAATGAATGGCCTGTCGGTCTGCTCACGACTTATGTATGATACGGACCGATCATCAACTAGTTTGGGACACAAAGAACTCCACGAAAATGACCAAAACTTCACTGTTTTTACCTGTAGTTGAAAGGTGTATTCGTTGATAAGAAGCGAGGCGAGCTGTTCCAGAGTGTACTCGCCGCTTCTGTTCCCGGAGGCGAAGTAATCGTTGATGTAGTCGTTGTTTCCCACTCCGATGCTGTACAAGCAGCTGTTCAACAGCTGCGTGGTCTCGTTCGGATCTCCGAGAGAAGAATTGATGGAATTGATCACATTCCGGTGATTCTCGAGCTGCTTATTGAGGCTGATCTGATCACCCTGTGAATAAAACAGACATTATTTGCCACAAAAATGCTTCAAGAGTTTCCGATACGAACATTTACAGCATATCTACTTGCACGACGTCATCGTTTGTTACCAGGTTCGAACCCCGTGTTGCGCGGATGCCGGCGCCAGATGAAGCCGATGCGTAGTTCACGCCTCTCGGTAAGTCAGACCTGCTCGCGGTTGCTTTGGGGCAAAATAAAATCCGCAAAGCCGAGGGATTGAGCTGAAAAAAAATTCGAGAAGCATCTTCATTCGACCAAAGACACGTATTTTAACACTAATCGATCATAAGACTTCAAGTTTCGTTTGCATGTTGTGTTTCATAGATTGAATCCGTATGATCACGCAACTCTGCAGAAAAAACTTGGACCAAATGAAGAAAAAGAATCAAGCAAAAACATCATAAGAATGTGGAAATAACGTAAATTAGGAAAAGAAACTGCACCGCAAAGAAAGGCATTTGAAGAGAGAGAGAGACCAATGAAATAAACCATGGCTCGACCATTGGTGAACCGTCCCGACAACCCGACGCCGGGGAGGTCGACCCCGTAGGGCGGGAAATTGGCTTTCGCGGTGGTGTTGAGCATGTTGTTGTTACCATTACCAGCTAATGGGTCTCAAAAAATGAAATGGCAAGGGACTATAGGGTTCCCATGGGCCACATTGAGAAAGCTTGAGATGGCCAATATCGTGAACACCACCAGCATTTCATCGGTGGCCATGGAAGGAAGAATTACAAAGGACATAAGGCAATAGAAACCCTAAATAATTGATATATAGATGAGAACAAATTGAAGGCCATACTTGCATATTATATAGAGTCTAGGGAGAGGGAAGAGAGGTGAGATGTGAGATTACACATGCACAATACGTTACAACATATCACTAATACGCGCCTCTAACTTTCACTCGTGCAATGACATCAGATTTTAGGGTTTATGGCCGGCTTTGATTATTTCATTAATTATCTTATTGTTAATTAATGTGGATCTTGTGATGGATCCAGCTCAAACAACTCTATCAGCATCAAGGGTACTCACATTCATACATAGATCATATGAATCTCACATGGGATCCATATCATCCCATGGTACTAATATTTCCAGAGTGTCATATTAATTTGGTCAAAATTGGAAGAATCCATTTTGTAATTACGTGGAGGATATATGCTTAACGCGGACCTTTTCATTTATGTGTATATCTATGACTTGATTGATTGAAGATCATCTTGCAATTACAGTCCACTCAATTCGATTGGCCACCCGTAGGAGAAAACATAAAAACGCATATTTTAAGCTCCATTTGTTTCGTGCAAATGAATGATTCGAAAAATATTTTCTTAAAAAATGATTGCTTGTATCGCTTACAAAAATGTTTAAACATAAATAGTCCACGAAAATGTTTTGGAATAAATAGTTATAATCAGTGAAAGCATTTTTCATTGATTAATTATTTCAAGTGATATAAGCTACTATTTTTAAGAAAATATTTTCCAAATAATTTATTTTCCATGAAACAATGAAGCTTTAACATAGTGGGTACTACTTGAACGTGAGTGATTGCATGACACATGCGAAGTGTATCTCACTTCGACATATTTAATCGATTTTCTAAATTTCGAATAATTTATGAATGTGAATAAGATCTAAAGAAAACTATAATTTATAAGTCATTGTCACTGTTTGCCGATTTTATTGACAAGCATAAATTTGTACAGGTAATTCTTGAATTTGAATTTCTAAAATTTTTCATTTGAATGACATTTTTTTATGCATCCACCATGATATTTCCGGTATAAAAAGTTCTATTGGAGTTTAAAGAATAATACTTCCAAGAACCTTAGAAACCACCCTACTTCAAAAATTAGTGTGGGAGTTCAGGACACTTTCCTTAATCTTAACATAAGAGCAACATAAGTAAATCTGTCTATTCATTAAAGAATGGGGAATATATAATTTCACGATGAAGCAAGTATAAAATCTGAAAGCATACAAAAAAAGAAGATGTTCTTGTCCATTGCTTATCTTCATGTTGAGAAAAGCGTCAACGATACCTCAAATTTCACAACGGATAGGAGAGACTCTTTTTAGATTTATAAGTAAGATCCGCCTTCAAATGTTACAAATATGTATGGTCGTTTTAATATTTCTTTTAGGAGCTTGATCCAAGTGGAGCGGGCCATTTTATTACAAAACCTATTAGGTGGTCATTATTCCACAAGTGTCGTGGTTTTAACTATAACTACGTGTATCATGTAATTAAATATGGTAAATTAAATTTACTGAGCTTAACGTAGTTCCTAAAACAGTGTTAATTCCAGTAATCTCTTCCTCTTCTAATTTCTTCAACATATTTTTTGCACACATATAGTTTCTCTTCTTAGTTTGCTTGCAATTCACATTTAATTTCCTATCAAGGTCTTTCACCTTAATCGTTTCCCCTCATGGAAACAGGGAGCAGATCAATCAGTTCATGTTTTTTTGTGGCACGAACAAACGAAGTGATGGAATACACGTAAACTCAATTATTCATTCTGTCAAATGCCTAAGTCAAGTGATGACAAAGGGTCAGCCAAATGGTAATGGACAACACTTGTTCTGAAAAGAAAGAAAATCACAATCTCCTTGATCTAGGATGTCACCAGGTGGGAGATATCAGTAGGATAAGTATCTGTCGTGGAACTTGCGTGGTACGCTCTTCCTGCAAGTCCTTGATTGACGACTTCCGTCGGATGGAATCCATCGAAAAACGCATATGTACTCCGATCAGGGCACGGCGTGGAGTTCGGCATGCACAGCCCGGTCTGACCCGTCGGGCAGCACGAGGTTCCTAGTACCGTGATCGCTATAAAAAGAAAAAAATCGTCAATGAAAAAGAACACTTCTGTCGATCTGGACTCATTGGCAAAATCGAAAATGAAACAGCAGATCGTCGGCTGAACGTGATGTACCGTTTGTCGAACTTGCCGACATTCCCATGACGTTCACAAGAATGAACTTGGCACCGGTGAAGGCGCTGTTGAGCTGATCCACGAGTGGGTAGAGCTTGTCGTTGAAGAGTTTGGCTGCAGAGTTCATCTCTTGTACGCATGCGTTTTTCCCACCTGATGCAATCGCAAAGGGGGTGCATCCAATTTGCCCCAGCCCAAACAATGCAATCTTTCTCGCTCCAAAACCATGTAGAGCCTAAAAATCCCAAAAACAGAAAAAAAAAAAAGAAGGTACGTTGCATCTTTATGTGGTGGAACTAGCATTTCGTGCATTTGATACATATACTGAATTGAATATTGACCGTCAGATCTGATAAAATTTATTTAGAACCCACCATTTTTAATGGTGCAGATATAGTTTGATATATAAACTAAAGTTATTATAAACTAAGTATAAGGGATGAAAAGTTGCGTGAGAATTTAGGGTTTTCAAAAACGCACGAGAACAAAAAAAGGAATCGCGAAGCACGACCTAGTTACAGTGTTGGATCAAGCCATGCGTGTGGTTCTTTGTTACCTTTAATTGCGAGGAGTACTGGTCGATGAGGAGCGAGGCATACTGCTCCGGAGTGTTCTGACTCGTTGAGCTTCCGCTGATAAAGTAGTTGTTGATGTAGTCGTTGCTTCCCAATCCGACGGTGTACAAGCAGCTATTTAGCAGCTGCGTGGCTTTAGCCTCTCCGACTATAGCAACGATGGCTTTGATCACATTTTGGTGATTTTGCAGCTGGTCATCCAAGCTGATGTGAGCGCCCTGTAAATTGTCGAGGAAGAAAACATTGCTACTTGTTATAAAGAGTTCGAGATTCCAGACTGCCATGCACAAGATGATATATGCGTGCACAGCGTTATTGTTATCGTTATAGAAGCGGGTTCGTCGTACCAGGTTCGATCCCGTGTCTGGACGAATGCCCGATCCACCCGATGCGTAGTTCACGCCTCTCAGGAGATCGTTCCCGGACGCAGTCGCGTGAGGCAAAATGAGATCCGTGAACCCTAGGGATTGAGCTGAAGGAACAAGAAACAGTCGATCTTTCAAGCAAGCACCAGCATCTAAAGATACTGCTATACATATTATACATATTTAAGGCGGGTGGATCATAGTATCCCACAACATAATGGCAATGATCCAGAAAAAAACAACAGAGTTTCACATACATACACAAAAGCTTGTAAATGCATGAACATGAATGTGTCAATATTTTAGGTCATGGCACATTTGAGGACGACCTGTAGGCATTGAGATAGTAATAAAAGATCATAATCGCTAACACTTATTTCCATTTGCTAAGAAACATTAACAAAATAATCCTATTACTTATCTAGGTTAAGTAGAGTTGGATTATACTTATGTAAATGCATGGAAAGCGTCATGCTTTAAGCCTGTTGATCTGTCATTCGGTGTGCATGTCATCTTGAGTGAAACGATATACTTCACACAGTAAATTAACACCGTGAAATGAAGTTAATGATCTCTAGAATCTTAAATTCAATGCACGCTTTATTTTAGTACAGATGAAATCATTGTGACCACTTGACTCGACAAGAATCCTTGGCTCGTAAAGAAGATCAAAGCAGGAGAAACCAGGAAAAAAGAATTAACCGAACGAAGCACGTGGAGGGAGAGAGAGGGAGAGAGACAGACTGATGAAATCGACCATGGTTCGAGCATTGGTGAACCGTCCCGACGGCCCGATGCTGGGAAGGTCGATCCCGTACGGCGCGTAATTGACTTTGGCCGAGGTTTGAAGATTATTGTTGTTGCCATTGTCGGCCAGCGAGTCCCCAAAAATGAAGTAGCAGGGCACGACGGGGTCTCCATGGACCACTCTGCCGAAGCATGAGATGGCCAAGAAAGACAACAAGAGCAACGCCATCTTAGAAGCCATGGAGGAATATGCAGAGCTTGGAATTGGGAGATTATATAAAGGAAATACGATTAGAACGTGAAAATGGGGTAATCGTTTTTAATTAGAAATTACAAATCTCTTGGATCTTTCTTGCTTTTGTTTTGGATTCTACGTCATGTGTTTTCGTTTCAAATGTTATGTCGTAATCAAATAATTCCCCACCCGAAGATGATGCTGCGTGAAAATCCATGAACGTCACACGAACATCTATGATCGAGGGACGAAAGAATTTTTGTCTGTTGTCGCCAAATTTGAGTATGTGAATCGAATATGTGAATAAAGACTTAAAAGTATACTATTGTCTAGCGCATGAAAATATATTATAAAGGTAAAGTATTTTATATTATTGGTCTTTCTTTAGGTGAATCTTGAGACCAACCCAAATAGCTCTACTAATGTCATAAGGATTCATTTCCTTGTTAATGTGGATCTATGGAGGGTAAGTTATCTTTATCCATTGATCACATTGATGTGTCACGTAATAAGGTATCTACAAGATTTTTGCATATATTTCTCTTGACTGTGCATATCCCTTATTAATTGTAATTGATATTGTAATGTTTCGTTAGCCCATAAATACCTCATAAATACCTCATGTACTTTTCATTATGGAAAGTATAGAAATCACGTTATTTTCTCTTCTTCATATTCTTATCTCCTAGGAGTCTGCTACCACGGTGTCAATAGAGATAATCTTTCGAAAAATAAAGAATTTCAATGGAATTTCGATCCCTCGAACAACTGTCGTGATTATGATGAAATGCCTATATTTGAAGCTTTACAGAATCGCTATGTGTCCTACAGCTCATATGGTAGGTCTTAGATTCGAGATTCGAGAGAGCTTGGGATGCTCTCATCCTCTCCCTCACTCACTCACTCTCTCTCATATAACGGGCTCAAACTTGTGACATACTTTAATCGTTACAAATTTCACCCGGTTCAATTGGGTCGGAAGTAGTTGGGATCTCCATGTCAGCGAATCAAGTACCCATCCCAACCCGCGGGATGATTATTGCATGCCTCAGAACTAAAATGTATCGAACTGTCAAGACACTCTTTTAAGACTTTTTCACAAAGAGCCAGCTGCATTTCCTTCATCTTCGTTAACATGACGATTGCTGCAAAAACCATTGGTGTCGGACTCTGCCTTTCCTCCATTAACCTAGCTTTCTTTGACAACAATGATACCAAGAGAAGAAAACCTATGTTAATTACAAATTTGTCGCGCACACTCAAATCGTAGATAGAGAAGGATTCTGAATATTTGATTAATTAAAATGGGTTAGTGGTTGAAATATTTATACGTTATAAAGCAGAGCAATAATGTATACTAGTGTTACGAAACAATAATATTAAGGAACATAAAAGAAATTAAGGGAACCCAAGATGCCCTCAATCTAATTTTATAAGTACTAAAACCACCTAAAAGAATCGAAACAATATGTGAAAGCCTAGAAATAGAGGAAGAATAAAAATCAATCCCGGCCTAAGAAAAAAGGAATAAAATCAAACCGCCCCGACCAAGAGTATTCAGTCTCTCGCGCACCAATTATACACTGAGATCAATGCACGTTAGTAACTTTTGTAGATAGGCCACAGAAATTTCGTACCTCAATTTGTTGTTCTTAAATCGGGAAAATTGTCAAATCAGTCCTAAACCTATTATACGGCGGCCAATTCAGTCCTAAACCTTTTAAGTTTGCCAATTCAGTCCTAAACCTTTTAAATTCTTGCCAATTAAGTCCTTCTGGCCAATTTTGGCATGCCGGTGCTGACGTAGCCGCCGGCCGTCCGGTCAAAGCTGACATGGCAATTTTTAAATCTTTTTCTTCTTTTTTTTTTTTTTTTTTTTCTGCTTTCTCCCCTCTGGCCGGCTGCCGGTCGCCGGACCCCGGACCGGCCAACGGGGAGACAGCAGAAAAAAAAAGAAGAAAAAGAAAAAAAAAGATTAAAAAATTGAAAAAAAATAATTACAAATTGCCACATTAGCGTTGATCGGACTGCCCGCGTCGGCCGGCGGCCACGTCAGCGCCGGTCGGCTAAAATTGGCCGAAAGGACTCAATTGGCAAGAATTTAAAAGGTTTAGGACTAAATTAGCAAACTTAAAAGGTTTAGGACTGAATTGGCCGCCATACAATAGGTTTAGGATTGATTTGATAATTTTCCCTTCTTAAATCATTTAGGTAACCCTAACGAGCTAAAAGTACTATGGAGACTTCACTATGTGTTGCATATTATCATGCATTGAATCAAAATCGGAAAAGTGTGATTCTTTGTTTTTGTTGGTCATATATTCGGAGATGTTTCTTTGGGGTTGGAAAGGATTTAGCTCTCTCTAACGATCTTATTTCGCAATAAACCAGGGTCGCGCTATTTTTATTCTTCAAAAAGCTTTAAGACCCACCATAAAATTTAGGGTTAATACCACGAAAAATCCTAAACTGGTACACTTGTGACACATTTATCCCAAACTATTTTTTTGACCATAAAAAACCCCAAACTGGTACACCTGTGACAATTTTATCCCAAACATACCACCTTTGGCGGTCACCGGACCGCGGCCTAAGGTTTGAAGATGAAAAAAAGAAAAGAAAAGAATAAAAAATAAATAAAAATTCAAAAAATAAAAAATAATATTAAAATTTTAATTCGGAAGTAAAATTGTCACATATATCTGATTTGAAGGTTTTTGTGGTAATCGAGGTAAAATTGTCACAAGTATACCGGTTTGGGGTTTGGTGGTAAAAAAATAGTTCAGGGTAAAATTATCACGGGTGTACGATTTGGGGTTTTTTGGTCAAAAAAATAGTTTGGGGTAAATGTGTCACGGTGTACCGGTTTGGGGTTTTGGTCAAAAAAATAGTTTAGGGTTTTCGTGGTATTAACCTAAAATTTAAAGTTGTCTAAAATAGTTCTCATTGGGAACTCATTAATGGTAAGATCGATGAAAGAAAAAAAAGTTAAATGTATATCAATCGATCTAATGATTTCTATAAACTTTTCCTAAACTGTTGTTTATTTATTTTTTCTTTTTTTTGTATTCAACTCTGACAAGTTTACATGTTCGTTTTTTATTTTACGGGAATCATATAACATTCGAGTATTTTAACAAATTTAGTGATCGGGATTTTAATTTGATATTAACTCAGTATATTTACTTACAATGTCTCTTTAAAGTTCAATCTCTAATAACTCCTTGTAATATACAATTCTATAGCGTTTTCATTAGGAGGATCCTTTGGTTAAAGTTGTGAACCCTTTATGATTAAAATTTATATTTAAAATATGTTAGTTAACAAAGATTACCAATAAGGTTCAAACTCATTACAAAAATCCTTTCTAGAGTTTAGTTTGAGCAAATTCATAAGTAGAAGAGAGGAAATGAAACTTGCATGAAAATGTTTAGAAAATAACATAAGCTGATGGTATAAAACATCATTGTTTTGATTAATACAGACAATCGTATATTTTCATTACAATGTGCGGCATTTGCATCTTCAATAAGTAGCCACTTTCACCCTTTCCATTTGCAATTTTGATTGATTAGTTCTGTTAAGATTATTTTCATTAACTCCATAAGTTAAGGAGTATTATAACCGTATAACCATTAGAGTGTGAAAATAGTGTAAGTCTAAAAAAACTATTTGAAATCTATAAGTAAATAGGAGAATGTGAATAATACATATTAATGATCTCTCTATATGTATATATATACATATACACACAATTTGGCATCACTATTCGGGCTACATAGATCATACAAAATCTACATACTACTCGGCGGATGAATTGTGGTTGGGGCGAAAGGATATATTGGAACCAGAGCTAGTAAATTCTTCTCGAAATGCGTTGAGGCAAAATAGTTAATTGAACATTCAGGAGTAAAGCACTGTCTCGGTGCGGCCGTTAGAGTGGTATCAATTCCAAGAGCTCAACCACAATAATGCATTAAGTGCATCAAGTAACAGCATTAAATTGGAAGTGAATTAAACAAGTACCGTAACTTAATTGCATCACGCCATACATTTTCAGACTCTGGAAACACTATTACATTCAATAAAAGAGACAACTGCAAAGGGAACTTCGCCTTCTTTTCATCCTTGCAATTGTCGATTATACCGATAGAGAAAAAGAAGTTAGAAGAAGAAAATCTCGACGACTATTTCAGCTAAATATGACCTAATTTGAAAACCGCCTTCAGAGTGCATATGGAACTGATGAATTTATCCGGGATTTTCAGAGCATGGCGAGGCGGCGGATGTCGGAGGGGTAAGCGTCGGCGCTGGACTCGGCCATGTAGGACCTCCGCCCAACAATGTTGTTTGCAGCCTCGGTTGGGTGGAAAGCATCCCAGAAGAGGTACTCCTTTCTATTTTGGCACGGGCTCTGAAGAGGGAGGCATGTGATCTGGCCATTGTTCCTGCCTACTCCACAGCATCCGGTATTAAGGACCTTCAAACCTGAAAATATCACGACAAGATAAATTACCGTCGCTGATAATTTAATTTTCCTCAAATTGGGCGAATCAGTTCGTTCAAATTCATAATTTGCTAGATGTACTTAAGGCCACGTTATCTTAATCTCTGAGCATCAGTCATCTCTAATCACGAAACGAAGACGGCGGCAGCGGCGGTGATGAACACAATTAGTTGAAAGCTATTGAGACGGTATACAGGCTCGAAAAATACCCACCATAAGATGAGGGTTTGGTGAGCAAGTCTTGGAAGATATTGTAAGAGTTGATGTAGGTGAATTTCGCGTTTGCGTAGTTCTTGTTGAAGTCATCGACGACGGACTTGAGCTTGTTGTTGAATATTTGGCAGGCGTCGTTGATGCTCTGAACGCAGGTGGAACCATCGGAGCTGTTCCGAGCCAACTCGCTCGGGCTGCAACCGATCTGGCCTAGCCCGAGCAGAGCCACCTTTCTTGCACCGTTGTTGTACATAATCTACATCCAAACGAATAATTGGTTATAGCCAGGGAAGATTTAAATGTAGAGAAGTGTCTGAACTTAGGAAAATAACTCGCCCTTAGCTGTTGGACGTAGAGTTGAATGAGAATGTTGGCCCATTGCTCCGGCGAGTACTGGCGACCACTCGTGTAGAACTGGGGCATGTAGTAGTTGTTGAGGTAGTCGTTGCTTCCCATGCCCACCACGAATACACATTTGCTCAGATGATCTGCCGCCGCGCTCTCGCCTCCGAGGATGTTCACCAGCTGCGACACCGTGCTTCGGTAGTTCTGCACCTGCCTCGAGAAGGTAATCCTACCTCCCTGAGCCAATAATTAAGAACACAGTCGTGAGCGATATAAATGAATCCGCTCCTGAAAAGGATTTCCCGGTCTAGGAAATCTCATAGAGCAGATGTGCATTGCTTAATCAAACAAAGTCCAAAATGAAGAAGATTAGTTACCAGTTGACGTCCGGTTTCTTCTCTGATTCCTGCAGCTGCAGATGCATAGTTCACTCCTTTGAGAAGAGCATTCCCCGTGGTCGTCGCGTATGGAGGGATGTAGTCGCTGAAGCCCAGAAGCTGAGCTGTGGGATGATGAACGCACAACGATCTCTTGCTCCATCATTTGCACTCTATAATCACGTATCATCACCATACAATATCATATATATGTAAAAGGAGCTTACCGATCACATCGACTGCGGTTTTCCCGTTGGAGAACCTCCCGGTAGGACCCGCAGGGAAGTCGATCCCGTAAGGCCTGTAATTGGCTTTAGCCAATGAATCTGCGATCCCGTTGTTATTGCCGTTGTCCAGCAGCGAATCCCCAAGTATGAAGAAACATGGGACTTGAGGCTGCGCTTGCGCCTCAACCCCATAATTTCCAGCATTCAACACCAACACGATAGCCAAACCCACCAAAGTTCGCATGAGCTTGCCACTTTCCATCGCTATAACTTGGTTAAAATGCACTATTTGAGATTACTTTGGGCAAGTATTCTGAAGTGGGGTTTGTGAGAGATTGCAAGGTATTGGTGAAGCTTATATAGGATCAAGAAGAGGGTCATGAGCGTGTTTGAACTAGTACACTGGTGCAGTTGAAGAATTTACTGCATTGCATTTAATTTCACGCGGATGTGTAGTGCAGGACAGCGTCGATCTTTCCATGAAATGGCCGAGTCAAACGTAAGTTTAACGCTGTACAGTGGTGGATCAGCTGCCTTTGGGATGGGGATACATGTGATCCTCTTTATGTTAGGTGAGCTAGATATGATTCGGCTGCATGTCGGAAGCTCGAGTATTAGTTGAGTGATTGCTCTGGTACTTTGCTCGGTAGTTTACAAAGAGAAAGGATATCATGTGACGCTTCTATCGCATGACATGTTAGCCGTGATGTAAGGAGAAATTATCAAAAAAGTCCTGAGCCTATTATACTTATATCAATTCAGTCCTAAACTTTTAAATTTGACCCATTTAGTCCTAAACCTTTTGACAATTAGACAATTATTTTTTGGTCAGACAATTAGCCAATTTAGTCTTAAACATTTTAATGATTTGCCAATTAAGTCATTTCGGTCAATTTTGATCAGAAAATGCTAACGTGGCGGTCTAGTCAGCGTCGGTTATTTTTTGTGGCATGGTTGGCACTGATATGAACAATTTTTAAAAGTATCTCTGAATTTTTTTTCTTTTTTCTTTTCCTCTTTTTTTTTCAACTCTTGGCCGGCGAGGGTTGGCAGCGACCTCGCCAGCCATAGGCTGGTCTGGGTGAGGGTGTCACGATCCTCGTCAGCCACTGGTGAGGCCAATAGTTGAAAGATAATGAGAAAAAGAAGAAAAATTTAAATTCAAAAAAATTCCAAAATTGTCTGCGTCAGCGCCGACAGTGCTACGTAGGACGATCGACGCTGACTAAACCACCGCATCAGTGTTTTTTGGTCAAAATTGGCTAAATGATTAGATTAGCAAATCGTCAAATGGTTTATGATTAAATCGGCATAATCGAAATATTTATGATTAAATTAGCAAATAATCAAAAGGTTTAGGACTGAATTGATCAAATTGAAAGATTTAAACTGAATTGACACAAGCACAATAGATTTATGACTTTTTTTTTGGTAATTTTGCCTTTTGATGTCACTCCTTCCTAAGATAAGTGCAATTGTTGTCATTCAACGTGTACTAACCCAGAATACTTGATTAAACGTACCAAGGGACATAATCGTGATATTTCGGAGAAGAGGAGTGAAAGACAAGGGTAGTGTTGAATATGAAGCGAAAAACAAAAAAGTTAAGATTGTTGGCTAAACTTTAAATAAATATTTGAACTTGTTATGTTTTTCTCCATACGTAATCGGAAGAAACTTTTATCTTCCCAATATTTGATTGGTGGAATTTTTTTTGGTAAAAATAACATATTCCTATATTTACAGTCTATACTTGAAATTATTGAGGTATGACACTGAACAATGAGGACAATTTAGTGGATGACCGACTTCATTAGCCCTATATATCACTATATGAGATGGGCCTTGAATAAATTTCATCTGATCATTTTGATTTTACTTGAATTTGGGATAACTTATAGATTTTGGTATTTAGACGCTAGATCTACTCTTTAAATTGTTCCAACTTGCAGAGTGTGCCAGACTAGTTCAAGACCAACATTTCCCAATGTCCATAGACTGCAAGGGAAAAATAATCGTGTCAATCTACCAATCTAGTAGGTACTTAGCATGTCTTTTCGCTTTTGACTTTTAGGGTTTTCTTTAATGTTTAGAGATTGAATTTAGGCTTTTATAATAGATTAAAAAATTTCAATATCTCTACATTGCAAGTCATGAAAATTAAAAATAAAGACTTAAAATACCTTCATTTTTTCAAATAAGAATTTGAAGTGAATCTTATTTCAAATAAAGGCCTAAAGTGCCCTTATTTTCTTAAATATATACTTGAAGTGGACCTTATTTCAAATAAGAGCCTGGAGTGCCATTATTTTCTCGAAGAAGGGCCTAACCTCACCAACTAATCAAATGCATTTTTTTGTCTTTTTATTTTCTTTTTTACCATTTCTTTTTTTTTTCTCCGTTGCCAGCCACTTATGGTTGGTGAAGGCTAGCCTTGCCAATGGTCATTGACAACCTCACCTGGGCAAGGTGATCCTCGCCCTACCCAGGCAAGCCCACCCTCGATGGATATAGGTGAGGGCGGGGCAGGGGCGACCCTATTTAGCGAGGGTTGCCCTCACCAGCCACTAGCAAGGTTGGCCCTTGCTAGATCTGGGCGAGGGTTGCCAAGCTCGCGGCCGGCTGGGCCCTCATCTAGTGGCTGGCGAGGGTCACTAGGCCCTTATTGGTCAGCGATGGAGAAAAAAAAAAGAAATGGGAAAAAAGAAAAGAAAATAGGAAAAAAAAAGACGAAAATTCCCTTAATTAGTTGATGAGGTCAAGCTCTTTTTTGAGATTGATATGATCACTTCATGTACTTATTTGAAACAAGATCCACTTCAGATCATTATTTGAGATAATAAGGACATTTTATGCCTTTATTTGAAACAATGTCTACTTCAAGTTTTTATTTAAGAAAATGAGGACACGTCGGGTCTTTAATTGAAATTTTCCATTGAAAGTCATGCCATTATTTTGTAATTTTAGTAAATTAAATTCTTCTCTTTAGCGGGAAACTCAAATATGCCATATTTAATTGGCTTAAATTATTAGATGGAAGGCCACTTGTTTTGCAGGATCTTGCTAAAAGAATATCGCTGTCTTTATTCTTTTAAACGATATTCACGTTGGTGTTCAAAGTCTGCACAAAAAATGTCAATTAAGTAGTGGTACTGAGACGTGGATTATCATAAATATCAAGATCTATGTGCTTGTTAGGCATTTTAAGTATGACCCATTTGTATAAATATATGGTTACACCATATGATATTATCTTTGAAAATTCAAATCGTAAATTGATCTCTCCAGGTGGGACCGACATTTTATGCTTCCCCGAGACGGTGGTGTGAAAGGTCAATAACAACTGCGATCTCTATAAATGCTGCAATTGGTTGGGCTGTGTACTTTTTTGACCCATGAGTTTCCAACACCACGCGAGTCAACCCATGGCATGTGCTTTTTGTACCACAGTTTCTGGAAAGTCATCTATTTGACGGTCGCTATACGTATTTGGTTACATTTATTTCTTCGAAACATTTGCGCAACAAAGTCAATTTCCTTAATAATTGCAGCTCTGTGTTGTGTTGACTGCCGGACTACCTAACGGGGGACAATTTAACGGGGATTTTACCACTTGTTAAGGCCGTCCAAAGGTGGGGTCTGGTCGGGTCAGGTAATTGGGTTTGGGTCGAGTCGAAAGCGATTTGATCCCACTTATTTAATCTATACCGTGTCATTTTTATTCAGTACAATTTAGCAAATCATATCCAATTCATATCTCGACCCGACACATACTTGACCCAGTCCAGGCTTCAATTCTCAGCAATTTTTCTTATTCAATTGTTGTATGAAGAATAGACAACTCCATGGACCGGCTCGTTGAGTCGGTGAGGTAGCTCAGGTGCTTGGGTCGAGTTGTGGTCCAAGACTTCGCTTGGCACATGACTAACGCGGAGATGTGGGGGAAACCCGCGCTGATGGACAAGAACACTTGCATGGACGAATTTGGGGGTGGGTTATGGATAGGGGAGTAAAGATGGTGGCGAGGCAAAGGGTGGTGAATCCTGCCCCGGGTAACGAGCAATACTCTCATTCTCGTGAACCAAGGCTGGCCTTTGTGGACTCAGGCCCAACCTCGTTGGACCCAGGGCCGAACGCCTATGACTTAGGCGTAGGAGTCGGGTACCTGGGCATGGCTGCCAGAAACCCGGGCATGAGCACTAGGGCCAATGACTTGGGCTTAGGAGTTGGACAACCGAGCATAGTCATGAGCCTGGCCTCAAGGGACTTGAATCCATCGTTACTGTTATATATACTATTATTATTCACTGTATAGTAATCGTTGAATTAGAAAATGTTGGACGAAATTGTGATCTTTACAAAGAAAAAACATCTAATTTTCAATAATATTTTCGGATTCCTAATAGCAAAAGAGATAAAAGCAAAAAAAGTCGGCAGACGTATGACTTAGTAAAGTTCCTTTCCCATTTCTGGATAAGTCCAACACACTCGTTTCTTTACAATAATGATTGGACGAGTCTAGACTTTACGAGGTCAACTAATATCCTTTCAGATTATGTCAACTACTAGTCGCTTATCAAGAGTTCGACTAATCATTAGCACTAATCGTGTCAAAAACTCTTAATATTACATGAAAAGGACCCATCCTAAACTTAGTATTGAGATGTGCCTTGAGTCTCTAGGGGTCTATTTGGGCTCGAGAGGCACTTGGCCCAAAGTTTTGGTATTTGGTAGCACAATTTTAAAAATTCTGGTGCATAGTTTTTCTCTGAGAATGCTCAAAGCTCGAGTAGCATCATGTAACTTAAGGGGTTCAATGAAATTCTTTCTTCTAGCCTTACCCTCACTAATACATTAGTATTCTTGTTTCACCCCTCAACCTTGGACAAAGACGGAGAGAATGTTGTGGTCGATCGTGGTTGCGAAGCTTTGAGGGGGAGGTCGAGGGACGCCAGTGCAGCTTTGCCAAGGGTCAGGGGACATTAGCAAAGCTTTGTTGAGGTCGTGCGACGCTGGCAAGCTTCGTTGATGGTCGCTAGACGCCAGGAAGCTTCGTTTGTGAAGGGCTGCGTAGGTCGGATTTTGTGATTTGACGCCTGAGAGAGTTGCAGTTTGAAGATCTGGCGGAGTGGTGTCATGCCTGCGAGATTCAGCTTGTTGCTCAAATGCCAGTGTGTCGTGCAACGGTGCCGCCTTACCTAGGGTTGCGCGACCTGTATGTACCGTTGCATGAGGTTGCGCCGTTCGTCTCCGGCGAAAATCACGTTTGCAACTTCAATATCTGCTTGCTCTCTCAGTTTTTCTAATAATTATTTTTCATTTTACAAGTTGCTTTCTAAA